CACACACACACACACACACACACACACACACACACACACACACACACACACACACACACACACACACACACACACACACACACACACAGTGGTGACTATGAGACAAATCAGATCTGATTGATTCTGAATAATAATAATAAATATATAATAATAAATCAAGAGGATTTCTTTTGTTTTGATTCTTCATGATGTAAAATATTTTATTTTCTGTAAATGATTCTAAATCAGTATTTCCACATTTTTGCCCAAAAACAAACAGAAACATCGTCACTCTGTTTACGTCGAATAATAAAAAAGAAAACATCAGAAACAGCTGATCAAACCTCGTATGTACACGCAATCAAGATGAAAAAAAAACTCACAAAAAACACAGACACCTGCAGACAAAAAAATAAAGTGTGACGAAGGCCGCGGTGAAACCTGCCCGACGCTCTTCAGTCTTTGACCAATCAGACGGCAGGAAACAGAAACGGTGTCAGAATATTTAAAAGGCTCCAGTGGAACAGGAGAGCGAGGGTTAGACGGTGGTGATGAAGATGAGGATGAGGATGTTACGGTCGCTCTCGGTGGAGTGATCTCTAAACTTTGTCTTAATTTATAGTACAGATATTTACACGCTGCGACTCGGACCTTTAACTCACCGTGGATTTAGAAAATAGCTTCATTAATAAATACAAAAAAAACAACTAAAAACAACAAGCTCTTATTTTACAGGAAATTAACAAAACACGGGGGGGTGGGGGGGGGGCTCGTGGAATCAAGTTTCTGTTTTTTTATTGTTTTGTGTTTTTTTTAGTGCAACTTTATTGATAAACGTCCCTTTGACGAAACATTCTCTTATTTCAGTGACTCACATTTTTACACCTGTTTTACATAATATACAAACAGAGGACCAGCCCCTTCGGTAGCCCCGCCCCCTCACCTGCCCTGATATACAGCCCCTCCCCCGTCAATATTAGTTCTCTGATCAAAACTGTTTTATTATGAAACTCTTCTGATATGAAGTTAGGCTCCACCCACAGAGCGTGGGCCATTAACATCCAGTTTCAGCACCAAGATGAGAGAGCTGCCAGGGTGTGTGTGTGTGTGTGTGTGTGTGTGTGTGTGTGTGTGTGTGTGTGTGTGTGTGT